TCGCCCAGATACCACGGTCGTTTGCTAATGTACTCGGGGTTGTGCGGGTTAATAAGGTTGCCGTCCGCATCCTGCTCAGGTGGCAGTGTGCCGTTCTTGCGCGCCTCCTCAATCTCGCGCTTCTTCTTGAAGTCGCTGCTCGACAAGCGCTCACCCCCAGCCGATGCCATACTTGTCGGGGTCTTGATAAAGTGTGTGTATGGGAATTCATTCTCATCTCTGATTGGACGAAAATCTATTTTCACTGCGCGGTTTATTATTATGGAATCTGCCTTCTCCGAGAGAAGAACAGGAGTGATTGTCACGTCTTGTTGGCCATGATCTCGGAGACGGCACACGCCGAATGCGTGCGGTTACTGGAGCTGCTGACGAACCCTCGTGTGCAGGAGAGCTGGTCATGGGTGTTCATGACGCCCGTGAACATCCCTGGCTACGACCAGGTGATTAAGAAACCCATGGACTTGGGAACGATCAAGAAGAACCTTGGCAGCAAACCCTCACGCTGTCGCTTCAAGTCGCATGAAAAATTTGCTAGAGACGTACGTCTAGTCTTTCAGAATGCGCTTGTATACAATAAGGACGACCAGGACGTCAAGGGATCCGTGTACGCGGCAGCTCAGCATCTACTGCGGGTTTTCGAGACGGCATACGCTAAAGCTGTCGATAACGTCTTCAGAGCGGATGACGCGGCTGTGGCAGCAGCCAAAGCGGCGCATCGAGAGGCGAAAGAGGAGAAACGGAGGACTGAGGGCGGTGACGTCGCAAGGCAGGACGGGGAAGGCGCACTGGGCGCGTCTTCCTCATCTTCGCACCGCCACCACAGCAGTAGCCACCACAGCAGCAGTAGCAGCCATCACCGCCATCGAGATGACGGAGAGGAAGGCAGTAAATACAAGCACAAACACAGCAAGAAGGAGAAAAAGTCCAAGAAATCCAAGAAGAAGAACAAGGACCGAGATAAAGACAGAGAACACAGACATTCGAGCTCCAGCAGTGGCGACAGCAAGAAGAAATCTCACCGCAGTGAGCAGGAAAGTGCAGCTGCTTCGTCTTCAAGTGCAGCAACAAAGGATGTAGTGTCTGCAGCTCCCAGTAGTGGCGTCGCGCCGCCAGCGCCGAGTGTTTCAGTTGCTCCTCCGAGCAGCAACTTAGTGGTGAAGCGAGAACTGACTCCGACTCACTCTTCTGGAGCTAAAATGTCGGATTCGCAGGTGACGGCGTGTCTCTCGTTGTTGATGAAGTTGATCAAGTATAAGGAAGGGAACATTAGTCCCGCAGCGCCGTTCCTACAGCCAGTGGACTTGACCCACTTCCCAGACTATCGCATCAAAGTCCCAAATCGTATGCATCTGTATGGCGTCCAGAAGAAGCTCCGTAGTGGGAGCTACGCCACGATTGATGCGTTCGCGTACGACATGCGTCTCATTTTCTCCAATTGTTTGGTGTACAACAGTGACGTGATCCTGAGCAAAGTCATGCGGAACCATGCAGTCACCCTCATGAAGCTGTTTGAGAGTCAGTTCGGCAAGATCGGAGGCTCATGGCCTGGTGTTCCGGAGCGGTGGAAATGTCATCAGATTATTAACGAGATCCTTGCTCATCGAACGGACGGACAGGAAACAGCGCAGTGGTTCAAGTACCCGATCGAGTCGTACTACGATTCTCCCGACCAAATCCCGTACAACTACTACAAAACAGTCAAGAATCCCATGGATATTGGCACGGTATCGTCCAAGCTGCACTTGGGCGAGTACAAGCACGTATCGGAATTCATCGCGGGTTTGAAGCTTGTGTTCGACAATTGCATTCGTTATTGGAAGCCGGATCCTCAAGGACAGACGTACTGTGAATCTGCAGAGACGCTTCTCCGTGTTTTACACACTCAGAGCGCTATCTTCGGTTCTTCCGTGAGCAGCAGTGGGGCGTCTAGAGAAAAGCAATGCCCCTCTCCATCCTCCTCGTCTTCGAAGGTCAAATCTGCCTCCACTAGTTCACATTTTTCCTCCTCGTTACCATCATCAGTGCCTACGGTTAGTATCCCTGCAAGCGAGCATGAAAAGATCAAGAAGAAATCGTCTTCCAAGTCTTCAAAGTCTTCGAAATCGTCAAAATCTCGCGAGACTGGCGCTGGAATGCCTGATAAGGACATTTGTCTGGGGATCATGAAGCTGTTGCGTGCACACAAGATGAAGGGATTCCGTGGGATCGAAATCAAGACGGCCGGACCTTTTTTGACTGCTGTGGATACGACAAAGTACCCGGATTATCTAACAATTGTATCGGAGCCGATGGATTTCGCCAAAATCGAGCGTAAACTGAAAAGCGACCGGTACGGCAGTGTCGACGAGTTCAGCGCTGACGTGCATTTGATCTTTTCCAACTGCCACAAGTACAATAGTGATCCAGTGGAAGGTGCTGACATTCGAGCGATGGCCACGAATCTGCGCAACTATTTTGTGGAGCTTTGCAATGAGAAGCTAGGCCCGCTTGACGGCATGGTGAATGGTCCCTCGCACACGCCAACAAATTCGGCGCAGGCTGCATCCCTTCCATCCGCTCTAGTATCAACACAGTCAAAACCAGCAGTACCTTTAAGACCTGAACCCAAAGTACATACTGCAGTCACTGGGACAGGGTCCTCTTCTCTTCACAAGCCCCTGAAGAAATCTCCTGCTCCCTCTCCGACCAAGAGAACTTTAGCGGCTTCTTCCGCTACTTCCAGTAGTGCTACCCTCGCTCGTGACCCCAAGAAGAACATTAAGGCACTCAAGCCAGAGGCCGCAGTCGTCATAACAGCATCAGCTATTTCGACGAAGTCTATTGCTCCAGTGAAGGCAGCATCTGCTCCAATGTCTGCGGTCTCTTCATCGGTTCCGAGTAAAGAGCTGCCTCCTGACGGTGCTAACCTAGCGGGGCTCACTCCTGAGGAGGCCAAGCGGCTACGCAAGGAGATGAAAGAGAAGCGGAAAAAGGAGAAGAAGGAAAAGAAAGAGAAGAAGAAGAAAGATAAGGAGAAAAAGCGCGAAAAAAAGGAAAAGAAGGAGCGAAGCAAGCTTGCCGCTACCCAGGTACGCCGTGAACCATGCTTGTACTTATGGCTACAATTTTAACTCGCTAACACCCGTATAACTTGGTCATACAGGAGATTGGATCAGTTGCTCAAGGAAGTTCTACTGCTCCCGCGTCTTTCACCTCTACATCTGCACAGTATGCACTTCCTCCTGCCCCGGTTACTTCAGCTCCTACTCCTGCAAAGGCGCTGCCTGGAACTACATCGGCTGTGGTCGCTTCGAAGAGAGGTTTAGTGGAACCTCACCTTGCTTCCAGTTCGGCGGCATCTAGCAAGAAGAGCAAGAAGCACAAGAAATCAGACCTGAATTCGTGGGAGTCTGCGTGTGATCGCGTTCTAAACCGTCTGACCAAGATTGAGCAAGTGACGAAGCTTCACTTTAACCACCCGCTGTTGGAGGTGTTTCCCCACCTTACTGCGGAGTACACGAGTCTGATCACAGAGCCCATGGACCTGCGTACACTACGCGAACAGCTTCATGGGCACGCCCTGACTCCAGCGGAGTTCCTGCGTAAAGGCCGTCTCATATTCCAGAATGCTGTCAAGTTCAATTGCGCTGACGACCCTGCCTCCGTCCAGGTGCGCGACATGTCTGCGCATTTGATGTGGTACTTCGATTCGTTGTGCGCTGAGCTGCAGATTGTCCCGACGTCGGAAGTTCCTGGAGAGCAGAGTCGAGTAAAGCGTGATCAGTTGAGACGCGAGCGCGCGGAGTTTGTGAACACAGTTCCAGTTGAGCTCAAAGCCAAGGAGTGTCAGAAGCTGCTTCGAGTACTTAACAGCCAGAAGCACGACAAGAACTGCTGGCCGTTCCGTAAACCTGTGCGTGTGCTGTTCCCCGCATTGTCGGCGGATTACTTCGACATTATCAAGACACCGATGGATTTGTCAACGATCGCAGAGAAGCTGAACGAGTTCGAGTACAAGATGCACGGCGAGTTCATTCGAGATGTGCGGTTGACATTCGAGAATGCCATGATCTACAATCGAGCAGACAAGGACCGCGAGGGATGGAGCGTGTACTCTGCTGCAGTGCACATGTTGAGTGTCGTGGAGGATCTGTGGGGAGACGTGACGCTGGAGGTGATGGAGAAGACGCGTCGCCGCGAATTAGTGCGAAAGGAGCGTATGAACGAGTCCAAGCGCAAACGGAGCGACACCTCGGAGATCGGTGGTGAACGCGACAAGAAGGTGCACAAGCATCACCACCACTCTACACCCGATACCGAGTCTGGACACAAACACCACCAGAAGCACCATCACAAAAGCAGCAAGCACCGAGCAGAGGACGCTGGAAGTGCTACTGGCAGTACAGCAAGTGCAGCGACGCCCAGCAAGCCTGTCGTCACGGCGACTTCTGTCGTTGGAACGATCGTTGTGGGTGGTGCAAATGGCTCACGTGAGGATGCTAATGCCAGCGATGCGACTGCAACTCGGGTGAAGTTGCAACTCATGCCAAGTAGACCGAACATGGAGCGCATGAACAAGCAGGAACGCAAGGCTGAAGAAAAGCGGCGAAAGCGCGCTCGACGCGAAGAGGAAATGGCGCGTACGGAGAAGAGACGTCGCACTGCTGTGGCAGCGACGGATGATGCTCTGCGCGAAGCTGAGATTCGAAGCAGGCGGAAGCTCCAGAAGTTGGAGATGGCCGAAGCAGTGCGTCTGCGTGAGGAGCGCGAGCGTCGTGCTGCGGAGGAGGAGGCTGAACGTGCACGTAGGGCGCAGATGAAGCTGAACGTTGCTGCGTGGACTGGTGTGCTGCTACCAGTTGCACCCAGGAAACAAACAGGCTTCTGGACAAAGAAGCACACGAAGCTACAGATCCCCGCCGTGTTCCAACCTCCGGCTATTAACGCTTAAACCTTGGTCAGCAGAAGGAGTGAAGTACAAGAAACTAAAATACTAAGGTGGTTGACCCTGGTTGCTCTCATTGATTCCAAGCTTGACTGTCAACACCTCGCAAGCGTCTCAGGTTCCCATTCAGACAACAAGTCGGGGACAAAGAGTAAATGAAAGAAAACTGTTTTACCACAAAACGAACCATTACCGAGCTCTCATCTGCAGTTAAATGGCTTGTGGAACGCTCATATAGACGAAGAGACTGAAGAATGCACACCGTTCAGGCTTGGGGCATTGTCGTCTTTGTACGTAGTGAAGTGTAAAATTGTAGTAGTTGTTTCTCCAATTGGAACGAGAAGAGAATGCTTCTTTACCATCCCAGTCGGATATCATTCGCTCATGTTTTCAGTTTTTTTTTCGTCTTGCCCGAGGCTTTTGGTCGGTTGGTTCCTCGTACGAGGCCTTGCCGAGTCTGTTTTGATTTTTGTTGTTATCGTCCATCCCCTCTTTCCTCAGGAAAAAAAAAATGCGGAAGCAGAACTATCTGGTACAAATATCACCAGCTCGTTCCCTCCCTTGTTTCAAATCAAGATCACAAGCATTGGGCTTGCTCTTTCCCACTCCACTGCTCTTGCGTCCCACCCTCCAGTCACCCCCCCCCCTCATCTTTTGTTCCAATTAAGGATACTGCATCTGCTGCTCTTGTTGGTTCCCAAAGTTCGGTTCCGTCATGAGTCCGGTCTCAATGCCCTGCCAGCCATACTTGAAGTGGTAAACATGAGGACCCGACGTCTCCTCTCCAGTGCACGTGTGGTAGTTGCCCTTGCACAAGCACGTTGGAGGTGGCGCCACCACAGCATAGTTGTCACTGGGAGAGCATGGCGACGGACACATCTCCAAGCCGTAGCCCTTTCCGAGCGGAGTATTCATGCCAGCGGAATAAAGATCCATCACATTGTCCGGACGCATCAGGCCGCAAGCCAAGTGGCTCGGCACCACGACCTGCGACTGGATGAACAGCAGCTCCTCTGCCGGCAACTTGGCCCAGCGGTCCTTGGCCTGCGTACTGGCGGCCTCCAGGTCGCAGACCCCATAGGCCATAGCATACAGCCATGACTTGCACTCCCAGAGCACATTGGGGTCCAGTTGTAGGAACTGCGCCACGAACATAAAGTCCAGCGCCGGATCCACGAGCAGCAGAGCCGCTCCGGCCAGTACACTGGGCCAGTATTCGATGGCCTGGTAGTCGAGCAGCGCAATGTCCACCAGACGAATGGCGTTCACGAACAGCTCCTTGGTGCCCGACGGGTTGCGGGCCGGGTTGACAAAGTCGCCCATGGTGTCCAGGGGACGTTGGTCGGCCGAGCCACCGGCCACCATGAACAGCAGCCACGCGTAGGGCGTCGTAGGGTGCAGATTCCACTGCAACTCCTGGCAATCATCAACAAACATAAGAAACACGTCAGCCATCTGGTCTAACAGTCACGTGGCCAGGCTTCCTTCCTGGTATAGTTCTGGGCTACCTACCACAACATAATCCACTTCAAGACGCGCGAGGTCTTCGCCCGCCAGTTGGGTAACTCCACGCTCGGCCAGGAAAGCGACGAGCTCCGCCGCCTTGGGTGGGTGCACTTCCTCGATCTTGGCCGCCATGAAGACGCACGCGAGGCCGAGCACGCGCAGCTGTCTCTGCATGTGGCGCACATCGTCCCCATAGCCGGCCACGCAGCTTTCCTGTGCGGCAGCAGCGCGGCGGCGCAGTAGCACCTGCGCGTACTGGTTGGCGAAGTGCGCAGTCTGTCGCTGGAGCGCGAAGTGGGTCGCCACCTCGACGATCCAGTGCCACGTGAAGCCGAACTGCTCGAACTGCGCCGTCTGCAGACTGAGCGCCAGCGGCAACTGACGCACCGAGTCCGGGGAGTGCGGCAACGGCGCCGTGAGCGGCGACTGCAGCGGCGAATTGGCGCCAAATACGCTGGAGCTCGCGGGTGAGAGGCGGCCGTCGAGCGCGAGCTGGTGGTAGGACATCTCCTTTTGGCGCATGCTCAGCACCGTCATGAGGTCGGGGTTCATGGCTGGCGCCTGCCTACAGGCTCGTTGGTGGTGTGCCTTCCTTCGTGTGTCCTTCTTCTCCTACTTGCCCTACTGCGCTTCTCTCCTCCTACGCTTCCCCCCGTCACTTCCACACTCTTCACGCCGAGCAAGCGGGAGCCCGGCCGAAACGAGAGAAAGCCAGAAGAACGAACTAAGTACGATTTAGTGACCCTTTTTCTCCAATTAGGTCCGAAAGTACCCATTTACCCGATATTCCAGCCATTTCCACGAACATCGATTACAGAGAATCATTCGAGAAAAGCAAAAAAAAAAAACTAGTCTACTCACTTGCTTGACACCTCCCAAGTTGTCTTTGGTTTACTAGAAAAATACTTGTGAACTGAAGTGTTGCTACGTACGGCTTGCGAATTGAACGCCCCTCTTCAAAAGATGAACGTGGTAGGTATTAGAATATTGGATCCATTGACAGCTTGTACGGCACGTTCACCGCTTCACGGCTTCACGTCGTGTAAATACTTTCGCGTCGTCGCTATGTGAAGCCAACAATCTGCACATGTACTTTGTTTCGTGCGCACGAAAGGCGAGATAACGAGGCGTTATTAACGACCTCTCAACTCGGTCACTCTCGTTGTCGTTAGTCGTCTCGACGTCTCGAGCGTATTTCCACTATCATTTTCGACACGGGTAAATAGCAAACTGACCTTATTTTAATATTAAAATAATGAATGCACTGCTGTTTGCAATGCCAAATTGAGCAGAAGTCACGCCTACTTCCAATTACACCCATTTTCTTCAAATGGGCAATATAGGTGCCCATTTCACGAAAATGGGTGCCACCAAAACGAAGTTGGAGCCATCGCAATCCTGGCAGCGACACTGCTGACGATCTGGAGAAAACAAAAGGAAAAAAAGCGACTCCAACTTGCGGGTCAAGTTGGCACTCGCTCCTCGTACACTTTCAACTAAGCCTTTCAACTTGACTTGGTTTTTGTAAGCATGTCAGACGATCCGCCGTCCTGGAACTCACACATTTCTGATTTGTGTACGCCACACAGCCTCGACGTTGAGGCATCATTGCGACGGTATCCCCACTTGAGGGAATGCTACGGCAGGTACGGGCGCGGTTTGCGCCCTCCGTCAGCGCTTTCACGTACGACGGAGCTCTGCGTTGTTTATCTTCGGCCTCTTCATCCAGTAAAACCCCCACAACCACCAAAGACCCTCCCAAGTCCTCAGACGACACCCTCGAAGAGCGGATCATCTCGGCGCTGGTTGTCAATCGCCCAGGTATATTGCCCGTATAATAGAACGCTATGCATTACAACTGACGCTGTACATCACTTACGTTTATACATTGGTAGGCACGCTGGCACAGATAGCGGATGTATTCGGCTACGCGGACCAGAACATCACGGGCCTGTGTGTACGCTCCACCGTCGTGCCCGAGCTCTCGCGCGTCACCATCTCGTGTTTCCTGCGAGATCGAGAGCTTCCTGCACTCAAGAAGCGGCTTCGCGCCCTCGTGGCCGTGACGTTTTTCCACCTCACGACTGTCAACTTCTGCGTCTCCAACGAGCAGCTCCTACTACGCTCTCAGTTATTGTTGCAAATCCGAAGGGACCCACGTCGCCAGCGGCAATTGCTGCGGATATTGCACGAGTTTGGCGCCGAGCTCATCGTCCCACACGACGAACAGGACGCAGAAAGCGACGATCCGCTGGTAGCAATCGACGACGACGAAGACTTTGACGAAGACGGCGTTCCGTTCTCCCACAGCAGCGCCGCCTCTGCATCTCAATTCTTAACAATCGCTGACGAGCCTGATAAACTAATTAAATTCATGGGCGCTCTCACAGAGGAAGGCTTCAAGATCCTCGAGACGCAGACATGTGGGCCAGTATTCCTAGACACCTCACACTCGACACTGGATCCAGAGAACGCCTACTCATTCCGTCGCGAAGTTGCGTCTGAAGTGGAGAATTTACTCGTGATACCGACAGATAACGAGGCGACCACCGCTGACCCTACAAAGACAGAAAGTGAGATCCAAGGTGGTAGTGCTCATGTGAGTGATGGAACAGCGTCAGCGCTTCGACAATTGAACAAAAACGTTACCCTAACAGCGACAAGCTCCGAGATAGACCCACTGGATGCCGACGTCATGATTCCTTTGCCACCAACGTCCACATTCCAGCTGCATACGAACGACCAGGGCTACTTCTCACCCAATCGACTGCAGTTACATGCTCGCATCGCTCAGCAGCTCCACTCTTCTGCGCCTCAAGACTTGAGTATTCCCAAATTCGTGCTGCTGCTAGGTATCCCTGGTTCCGGCAAGTCTACAATGTTGAGCCACCTCGACCTCATGGGGCAGCTCACGTTGCAGGATTTTGTAAACTTCGACGTGGACGATGTCATCGCACTTCTTCCCGAGTTTTACCATGCGATGTTGAATGTGGGTCTAGGCAACGAGCCGGAAAGTCGCAGTGTGACGGACCCTGAAGCTGCTGAAGTGAGCTCGAAGCCCCATGCGAAGCTCTTGCCCGGTCCTCAGACACGCTACCAGCTTTGTCGAGACGAGGCACGATTTATTCTTAAGAAGAATCTCCACAGCGCCATCATGTCACGCAAGAATATTATTCTCCACGGCAGCGGCAAGAGCTTCACCAGTTACGCCCAAACGGTTGATCAAGTGAAGGCTGCAGGCTTCGACGTCCACGTGATATGTCTGGACATCCCGTTAACAGAGGCCTATAAGCGCGTGGACAAACGCAGCAGTGGCTACGGACGTGACGTCCCTCGGTCAATTATCGACACGGCTTCATCGTTGATCACGCGCAATTTCCGTCGACTAGCGAGTCGTGTGCCTAATGCGCACCTTTTTGACAGCACAGCGCTCCCACCGCGGTTGGTTTGGAGCAAACAGCGTTCGGAGATCGTGACGGAGCACCCAGATGACAATGTGCAGCGCAAGTACGGCATCGAGTAATTATTTACGCAGAAACAACATTTATTAGGACGCATCTAAACGGAATACGCGGCAGGGGCAACTGATCCGGGCGTGGAGTCTGTTTGCTTGGCGTTGTTCTCGGGAGACACGAACTGGACAGACCGCACTTTGTTCTGCAACGTCTCCTTCATGCCCGTAGTGTTGCTGGTCACGTTGGTTTCGAGGGTCTTGCTGTTATCGGTGAAGCGGTAGGACATGGCACCTGTACCCTGCGCGACGTCCTTCTGCACGATAGACTTGAGAGGATCGTTGTAGTCCTGGTTCTCGTAGAGGATCACATCGAAGTCCTTCGTGTCGGACTTGAACAGCATGAGTTCGGTGATAGAGTCCCAATACTTGGTTTCCACTTCAGGTACACTATCAGAGTAGCAGACGCCGTAGCCGTCGCCAGAGTCGGGGACTCCCAGGAAACATGCACGTCCGGCCTGCTCCACGTAGACTTCTTGGACAGAGTGGTCACCGCTGACGTTGTAGCCTGTGTTGGCCACATCTTTTGAGATGACATCGACGTGTTCATCGAAAGGCACGTCTGTCACACGAACGTTCGCTACAAGATCGCAGCCTTTGCCGAACTTGATGCTCCCGATCGTACCCGGCGCTGTGATCGGGTTCACCTTCGTGCAGCTCTTCAAGCGCTTACCGATGCAAAACTTGGATCCAGCATAGTTTATCTGCTCGTAGAAACACACAGAGCAGTCTCCAGCGACCTTGGGCAGGATGTTGACCTTGCTCTTGAACTGGTTGCACCACGTCTGGTCGCTTGAAGTCGCAGCCGACGCTGAGCAGATTGCAAGTGCGAGGAAGGAGACGATATGGGCCATGAAGATAGAGGAGCTCAAGATATGCGTCACTCAGCAAATTGAATTGTGGTACGCACGACATGAGCGACGATCTCCCTCCCCCTTTACATTGCAGCGCTGGTCAGCATGGAAGAGGAAGACAAGTGGGTTGACCATATGACACCCACTCACACTGTTCGAACCAGTTATTCGGCATGTGGTCGCTGAAATAGCACAACACCTGAAACAAAAGCAGATAGTCGACATCATACGAACGGCAGAGATTGTCCACAACTCGTCCGGACAGTTGCAATGTACTGTCATGCGATTAAGTTTGTCTTGAACTGTACTGCTGTTTCAGGTTTTCATAATGCTGAATTTCTGCAGGCGACACCGATGGAACCACCTGCGAAAGCGCCGTCATAAAGTGCTCTTGACCAACAGGTACACGCAACTCTTCAGGCGACAATCGGTTGAGAAGTAGACGGATTGTCATGGGACTTGAAGAGTAGCAGTCCTCCGCGTTGATCTCCTCTGCAAGAAACACAACAACACCAATATATCAGAGCTGGCCAGTCGAATTAACTCGCTAGAGCGATACGTACCGAGTTGTTTGTCAAGAGCTTCCACTCGATCCTTAAGTGCAGCCGCTAGTGCACTGGAACTGAGTGCGTAGAAGTCAGCGCCTGTAAAGTTGGTGGGGCAATGCTCCACTACAGCATCCAAATCAGCATCTTCCGCCAGTGTGAACTTCCTCGTCTGCGCCTTCAACACCTTGAGTTGCGCTGATTTGTCGGTGCAAATGCCAAGATATAACAACCGATCAAAGCGACCGGGACGTAGCAGTCCTGTTTCCAGCAGATCTGGGCGGTTCGTGGCGCCAATGACAAACACTTGATCGTTTCCACCACCGCTAAGCCCGTCGATCTCCGTCAGAAGCTGCGAGACCACGCGGTCCATGACACCACCCGAGTCTGAGCCACGTCCACGCATCGGTGCTAGCGAGTCCAATTCATCAAAGAAAAGAATACAAGGACGACAGCTACGAGCCTTGGCGAAAACTTGTCGAACGTTCTTCTCGCTTTCACCGATGTACATGTTCAGCAGCTCAGGGCCCTTGACACTGAGGAAGTTGAGGTTGCATTCAGTCGCAATGGCCTTCGCTAGGAGAGTCTTGCCTGTTCCTGGAGGTCCATACAGCAAAATACCAGACCGTTGACGGACTCCACTGGCGAACAGCTCTGGGTGCTTGATCGGTAGCTGCACCACGTCCAGAATCTCGTCCTTGACGTCTTCTAGACCACCCACATCAGTCCACTTAACGTTGGGAATCGACGCATTGCCAATGTTGGCCGAAGATGCTTGGGCTTGCTGATTCTGGGCAGCTTCCTCCATGTCCTTCGCTGATACGCAGCACTTGCGTGGGAGATCGTCCGAGTTAGCAAACACCACATCTTCCAGCGATACGTCGCTGGTGTCCGTCTCGTCGCCCAGAATCCTCTCGATTGCTAGACTCCCAGCATCTGCTAGCATTGCCGACAGCTCTCCATACGTCCGACCCGCAGTCAACTGTGCAATCTCCGTCAAGTCCACGTCCTCATCGATCTCTATAGATGTTGCCATGTGCTGTAAGAACCCCAGTCGCTTGGAAAGATCGGGTGCCTCGAGGTGCATCTCGTAAAGGAAGCACTGTCGAATAAACTTGGGCACTTCGTTGACGTCTTCTACGCACGCGATCAACGGGATACTGTGCTGGTTCTGACTCAGTGAGCGGATGCACTCAGAGAGAACAGCACCGATCCGCAACTCCGCTTCCTCGTTGTCCTTTTCGACTGGGAAGAGATGACTAATATATAGGAGACAGGGTGATAAGGCCTGAGCTTTTGATACTTGATCCCGCACATTTTCCAGCAGATGAAGCTCTGATTGACCCGTGAGATCAGTGAATGGAACCTCCACAGTGATCACTCCCAACTGCTTGGCCACTTGATGCACGAGCGTCTTCTTGCCAACACCTCGAGCTCCACTTAGCAGCACCGATACCGGGATATCGCACAACTGGGCCGGGTAGAGTACTTCGTACAACTCTTGCTGGGTAGTCGAGGGTAGAGCTGAGTCAGATACCGGTGCGGCACCATGATATCTGCTCTGTGTGATGAACTGCTTGATGGTTGTCTCATCAGGAGACGGCGCCGAAGTTGACGAACCTTGCATAAGCTCCGTAGCGTCAGACACCGTCAACGCCAACGCATCCTTACTCTCTCCATCCAATCTCTCGACCCGGAAAAACATAAGCGAAGTGTCCAAATCCAACGTCGGAGGCATGAGCTCCGTCACTGGCTCGGCAGCTTCGCCCTCTTTCGGCCTCATACAAGCAGCAGGCACATCCACGGTCTTGTACGGCACGTAGTTTTCTCTGGACCATTTGTTCTCTTTGGAAATATGAGATTGCGTTGTCTCTCGAAGCTCTACAGCGAAGATATCTCCCACTTGCATCACTTTGGGCGTTGCAAAATAGGATCGAATTGCGTCCAACAGACCGTCACGTTGCTGTAGCAAAGCGTGCTGGCGACATGATAGGCTCGAGACTAGAAGTGGAGCGATCATTGCGTACGAAGCAGCTGCAGGTTGCTCTTGATGTTTCCGACGGTATGGTGCAGACGGCTGCATTGTGAGTCCAAGCTCCTGTGGCAATGCAGCACGGATAGACAGCTATATAATAGTATCGTAGCGTTAGTGTGAGTGATGGACATTACGGGTACTTAAGGACTCACCGATACAGTCACGTGAGCGGCAGTGGATGAGTGCAAGGGGATACCGAGGTTGAAGGCTAGAAGCGGTGACAGTGTCACGTCTTCACCCTCGTCCGCTTGCAACTCTTCTCTTGCATCCAGTAAGCTCTTCGGTAATAGGCGCAATCTGGCCACATGTCTGCGCTCCTGGAACTGAAGCGTCACGAACGAGTCGTGCACCACACGCAGGCGTCGCAATAGTGCCACGTTGGACGTTGTTGCCAGCGCCAGCGCGTCGTCGGCAGCAGCGGTGGTAAATGAGGAAGGCGGTGATCTATGAATGCTCCACACATGTGCACACACCGGGTGCTGCTCTGGGGTGGTGTCGACGGCGAAGGACGAGAGCCACATGCGTCCGGGTCGGCAAGTGCGCAAATGCAGCGATGATACGCAAGCAAACCGTTGAAGCTCAACGTGGTGTTCGTCACATTAAATACACCATTTGTACGTGGACCACTCGACTGTTCCCCCAGACAAGATCGTTCAATAGAACAAAGACGATGAGCAAGCCAACCGAGAAGAAGACGAACAAGCCGGCAGCGGGCAAGGCAGCGGCCCCCGCGACAAACGAGAAGGCGCCGGTGCTTGTGGTGGTGACAGAGGAGGACGACGAGTTTGAGGAGTTCGAAGACGCAGACTGGAACGGGCAGGCGGAGGAGAAGGACGCACATATCAAGCAGCAGTGGCAGGACGACTGGGATGTCGACGAGGCTGACGACGAATTCTGCAACCAACTGCGAAAGGAGCTGCAAAAGACCAAGTGAGTGCACAGCGAGAGTGGGCGCGGCTGAAGTGGAGCTAAAAGGAGTGCAAGGACAAGTGACAGCGATACGTTTGCAGTGATAATAAACAGCAACACGATGCTCGCCACATGCAGCAGGTCACAGGATCGCGACTTTAGCAGCCACACCGTGTCGATCTGCAGTGTTTATCTTGTTTCTGAGGTTCTCTCTATTTTTTCTACCCAAACAAAGGCAATAAGACGATAAAAGCTCCACCTGTCCACACCCTGCAAACCCAGTACAGTCTGTCGTTGATGGCGTCACTGTGTACCTATTAGTGCTGCTTGTCCTTGAGGTGTGCGGGCACATCCGGCTCAAACAGCGCATCACGCTTCCACTCAGGCACGTACTGCTTGAACTGTGCTGCCTCCTTCTCGTCGTCCATGTCGAAAAAGTCTTCAGGCTTGACGTCGGCAAGGTCGGGGTTGCGCGGACGGCGAGCCTCTTTGGCTTCTCTGGCGGCCTGCTCGGCCTTGGCCTTGGCTGCAGGGTTTAGCAGCAGCTGGGCCTCCTCCAGCGTCATGCGCGTGTTCATGAGTTTGTCCAGGGGGTCGCGGATCTTGAAGGTCTTGAAGCGGATGATAGGGAAACTGTTCTTAAGCTTGGCCTCCACCTCCTTCAGCACGGCGGGAGACGTGTTGAACTGCTGTACGATGAGCTTGCCCTCGTAGTGGCGCTGCAGGGCACCCCACCGACGGTCCTCGATGCCATAACCCAGACGCTTCTCGCCACGGTTCTCCGTGCCACGGATCACACCGCCCTGGGACGTGATGAGTGACGCGCAGTCCTGGAACACGCGTGCAACGTCCTTGGGCGGCGACTTGAGGTTGGTCAGTAGTACCTGCTTGTAGAGCGGCATGGCTTCTTGGCTGCTAGCGCTTGGTATGTGAGGCGCACGTCAATCGGCGTCAGCTCCACCGATCATCACGATTAGGATTGGCCAATATTATCTAATATCGACCAATGAAAATCATACTGCGTTTTTTTTTACATAAACTCTGTGTCAGACATCATTTTGTCATTTTGATCTTGAATAGCCATTTGAGCAAGTTGCAGTTGATGGGACGGCGTGGAGTGCAGCAATTAACGGCTGAGCAGTGGCGGGAGGCGTTGGAGCAGCAGATACGAGAGAAGGAACAGCAGAAGGAGCAGCAGCAGCAACGTGGCGATGAAGTAGAAGGGCCGCAGAGACGGTCGCACAGTGCCCCAAAGCAGCAAGAAGAGAGCGGTGGGCTGATTCCGATCGTCCCCGAACTCGAGCGCGCTATTACGACGTCAAACTGTATTGGGCAGATGGAAGGGTGTATTGTTGCAGACAGAAGGAGGTGCTTCCAGCCGCAGTCGAGAGAGGACTATCTCAAAGCGCTTCAGGAACAGATTGAGGAGAAGAAGGTAGGTGGGCTACGGTAGTGAAGAAAGCGGAGTTCTCTACGTACTTATAGCTGGTGTCTACCTTGTAGCGATTGGCTCATGAGACTCAGCACAAAGGGAATACTCAACAACGTCGTACGTCGAGGAGTGAAGACGGCGATAGTTCTGTATTTGCCCGAAAAGACAATTGCAGAGATGAAGACGAGCAACCGCGTAGCAAGAATATACAAGTAGAGGTTCGAGAAAGCGTAATTTCGGATGTAGTATTTCAAGACAGAGCGCGTGATGTCAAACCAAGTGCAACACCCAATCAACAGTTAGATGAGTCCTGGCAAGCTCCAGTCCTGAAAGCCGAGATTGCAGCAGACCCGGTGGCGATCACGAAGCTCGTGGATTTCTGTGAGGAGCTCAAGAAGCAGAATGAAGATGTGAAGAGGCAACTATCGGAGCAGCATGCCGTGCTCGCCAGTCTACATTCGACGCTTTCTATAGAGGCTGATGGAAAGGCTTCTGCTGGTTCTCGGCGGCGGGATTCTATGAAAGAAAGATCAGATAATGCACTCACGGCGTCTAGAATCAAGAAATCCCAGTTAAAAGGCCCCGATACCAAGCCTGCAGTAGCTTTGCCAGTAGCTCCGCGACCACGACCGGAGCGAGGCAAAACCAAAATCCCTCTTCCACGTCAAAGATTCACTTCATCTCTACGATCCGTGGGCGCTGATATTGTAAAGCGACTTGCCTCGAAAGAAGAAACACAATCACAAAAAGCTGAAGCGATGTTGGATCCCTTTGCTTCTGCTGTTGAGGTCTTCGATGAGAAGAAGACACTTCCAGTTACATCACAGAGCAAGAGCGTTTTCAAAGAAGAGCACTCCGACGAAACTAAGACTAGAGACTGCATCCAAAGTCAAGATGCGGATATTGCTGAACCAAAAAATGAGGAAGGGGGCGAGACGAGCAGCTCTAAGAAAGCTTGTGAAGTTATCGACATTAGTGATAGTCAAGTAACACAGACGGGATGCATTGAGGAGGAATGCCCCATGGACGCAGAAAGCAAGTTAGTGCACGACTGGGAGAGTATATCTACGAGCGATCAGTTGCTGGACTGCACATCGGTATCCATTCTGGATGGTCTTAGCTCCTTGATTCCGATTGATCAGTCTGTATCTCGCTTATTCTAACAGTAAATGGTTCATATACCTTCGTTTTCATACCTTCGCAAGCCGGTTTGGATAAGAACAATAGGACTTGTGTCTTCGCTGGTGTTGAGGAATCATGAACGCACCTGGCACTGCAGTGAAAAACACGCCAATGTCCTTGTCAGCAACGAACATTTCCTGTCTCTGCAGTGCTGCTTCGGTTCGAATTCCGGTGGCATTCCTCATGTCGATCAATGATAGGTCATCCGTTCAAGCTCCTTCATCGGCATCATTTCATGGTTCTAGCCGCCATAGATATCAAGGGCCGAGCCGAATCAGGTCCGTTCCACAACAGCTCGTAGATTAGTTGCAGCTAGGGCGCAAAAGCGCAACTCCAACCATTTTTAAGTACTTGTTTTACCGTCGGCTCCTACTCCTCCTTACTCGCTCGTGACTTCGCCGATCCCGACATCGTCTTCTACTTCGATCCTCGTCTCGCCGTCTGGATCTGGATCTACTTTGTCTTTTGCGTTCTGATATCGACCTTGACCTTGAACGGCGTTCATATCTCTCACGGCTACTCGATCTCCTGTGACGTCGCTCGCTATCTCTTACTCGACGCCTCTCACTGGTGCTCTTGCGTCGAACACATCCACGTGAGTCGTCCGACCTCTCACCGCGTCTAGAGCTGTGACGTCTATCCCTCCGGTCGTGATCCCCATTTTTGACTGCGTTAAGATCTCGCTCCTTTGCTGTGATTGTGCTGCAAATATGCTTCTGCTCTGTCGAGTGCTTCCGGTCCTTATCCCCGGCCATTTGAACGCGCACGGCCTTCCCTAAGATCTCCATGGCTCCACCTTCCCGACACGTATCCACTGCTCGCTGCGCCGCATCTGGACTTGCAAACCGCACGAAAGCGAATCCTGGAGGCTGCAATGCAAGCGTCAGAAATCATCGTCACAAACGTCATCTAAAGACGTCGGTGTACTCTGCGTGCAATCCAGACGCTGTGGATCGTCCCGAAGCGCGCAAATTTGCTGGTGAGGTGGATTTCCTTAGCCTTGGGCAGTAGATTCCCTACATACACGCGGCAGTCCTCCTCCGTAGCCGCTAGTGCCTTCTCCTCGCCTTCCATGCCAGCGATTTCGGCTAGTTATGTAATTTTGAGCCTAATGTTAACTAGTATTCTTCTTGATATTTGAATTCAATGCTACGACTATACTATTTAAGAGATCGCTCCGATATTACTATTGTGCTTTGCAGCGATTATGGCAAAACGAAATTAAAACGAAAAATATTTCAAATGAACTTTAAACAATTATTGTCAGAATATTTTTAGCATTAAATAAATATTTTAAAAATAATAGCTGATTATTTTTTGATGAGTAGTTGTAATAACTAATAGGACTCGTGAGAATCGTAAGATAATCGTGGACCCTTACAAGCCATTAGACTAAGAGAGAGCAACGTGTATCTTTCTTTATATAGTAAAGATACACATTGCTTTCTATTAGTCGCAGATACACGTCGATCCGCGGCAAAAACGGAGGAGGGCTTCCTGAAATTTTTAGTGAGGTTAGCTATTCCACCCTCGTCGAAGCTGTAGCGAGTCACACTTGTGATCACACGATGGATCAACACTTACGTGATGTTTTAGTGAGGGCTTCTTGCTCCTCGGCTACTACTAGTGCTCCTCCAGGGCGGAGGGATTGGAATGCCTGTCGGTGGATACCTGTGTAATCCATCTGTAGCGAAATGCTGAAGGTTGATTCAGGAAGCTTCTTAGCGATTGCTAACAAGTGTTATTGGCAACAATGATGTTGGTCTGGTCCGTACACATGGTGGATGCCCCTTGCACAAACACCTTAATCGCTATCCGACGGACAAAACTATCATGAGTCCTTTCCATGGCCTTACGCGCAAATGCGACCGGTTCATTCGAATGGGTCACTAAGTTGATCGCCGTCGGGTCGTGGTAGTCCAATAGTTTCCCCAAAACTAGTTCGTTGTCTCCACATACCTCGACAACTTGTCAGTCATTACACACTGGAACTGCTATGGCTAACGCCTTCAAAATGATAGTCGAAATTCTCAGTGTTGCACGAAGCGTAGCCCAGCCAGAGCCATCCCAGCGTGTGTCGCGCCCACTGATCAGCGGCGATAGCCATACCGGCAACTGTAATGGTGAAGAGGCAGGCGTTGCCACAGAATTCCCCGCAGCGGGTGTTTCTTTGGATACAGCAACCTTTTGTCCATTTTGTTTTGTCGTCAGGAGTGGCAATGGAATTCTTTGGGAGGGAGGGGAGGGGTTAAGGCCTCGAATTCGCGAATTTCGCTTGCGTGGACAGTGTTCATGTGATGCAAGAAAGTTTTCTTGTCGTTCTTGTTAGACTTCGATCGGGAAATCTTGAGCACGATATGGCACTCAAGCACAAAATTGTTCGTGCATCCCCAGAAGATAGAGCTTGACCAGGTCGCGCCGGTGCTCCAGCAACATACCTCGCAAATTGCCACAATGCAGGACGTCTGCATGGGCTTGGCTTGAATATTCTGTCGACAGGTGGGTCACCATCGC